TAATTAAGTTTAGAATCATGAAAAATAACCTATTTAAAAAAATTATATTATTGAAATAAGTGAATTTTAATTTTTTTTTTATTGAAATTAGTAAAATTTAAATAATTCACGTCACAATCTAACATATAAATTAATAGATAAAAATTAATTTTTTTCAAGAAAATTCACTAGTAGGACAGGAGTATTTGAAGTATCAAACGACAACAAAAATTCAATTTTGAAATAAATATTTTGTGAATTTTGAAATATTAAATATCGATAATAAATTAAAAAAAATATATATCAAAATTGAAATTAAAGTTATTATTCCTCTAAAATAAAATTTTGAATTCGTAATTTAATTTTAAAATTAAAAAAAAAAAAAAGCTCTTAAACAATAAATTCAAAACTTTACTTGATTTTTAAACTATACGAACATATATATAATAAAATAAAAGGTGTAAATAGCATTTATAAATTTAATTCTTAAAAAAAAAAACTAAAAATCAATAAATATAAGCTATTCCAATATTTAAATCTTAAACAATAAATTCGAGATTTAATTTTAATTTTTTTTTTTGAAGTGAATGGTATAATAAAATGTTTTTTTTTATTCCAATTATTATTATTTATAAAAGAAGGGTAATAGTAATAAAAATATAATAATTAGATTTGGAGCATATGATTAATGGAAAATTTCCAAAAATAGGATGCAGCTTCCAAATTTCAATTATAAATTTGTCTTTTGAATGTGACACATCATGTTGTGGACAAATAAATTAAAACAATCAACTAGTTGGTTGAGCTGACTTATCACTTAGTCCAATCTTTTGATGTGTATTAAAAACTTTATATTAAGATGAAAAAAAACATACACATATTAAAAAATATTACATGGTTTTGAGCATGCTCATATAGATATTTATTCGAGCGGAGCAGTTTGTCTTGACAGCTAATATAAATATTAGAGTGAGTAATAGACTATTCGGAGGGACTGTAGTGGGTTTAGATAATACCCGTTATGGTATTGATCAACAACATTGCTAAAGTTTATGAAGATATACCTGTATTTGAAAAAGTTGTGAGAACTCTCGTTTCCCCACCTCTTTAGGGTTTCAAGATAGATTCAACAAGATACGCAACACTGCACGCGTGGTGTCGTTAATAATCTTCTTCTTCTATAGTTTTTACTCGGGTAGGTGGCTGAAACTATTTTTTCTTGAATGAGTGGACGTGCAACTGTACCAATATGATGAGCTTGAGGATTACAAGTTTAGGCAGTGATAATAAACATTATATCTCGTTAGCTACGTTAAAAAAATGAATATAAACAATATTATGATGAGACACGTAGATATTTTAGGCCCATTTATTGATATGACACAATTAGCAACAATATGAATGAATACACACTCCATGTGTATTTAAACGAATCCAACCCCTTCGAATTCCTCTAACCCAACAAACCCAATGGATTCCGCCGCAACCAACGCAATTCTGACGAACATGCTTCACAACGCCGCCGCTACCACCACCACCAATCTCCCAACGGAATTCCTCTGGCCACACGCCGACTTAGCCGCAAATGCCGACGACCCAGAAGAGCTTCAAGAGCCATTAATCGATTTATCCGGTTTCCGGCGAGGGGACGCGGCGGCGACAGCGGAAGCAGCCGCTCTCATCCGCCAAGCGTGTAGGAACCATGGGTTCTTCCAAGTGACGAACCATGGCATGGACCCAGATCTAATAAACGCCGCATACGAGCATGTGGAGACCATTTTCAAGATGCCTTTGGTCAAGAAAATTAGTGTCCGAAAGAAGCCTGGAAGGGTGTCTGGATATTCAGGGGCCCATGCAGAGCGATTCTCCTCTAAATTGCCATGGAAAGAGACGTTTTCTTTTGAGTATTGTAGCGATGATTCTGAATGGCCTGATGTTCTTCATTACTTCAAGACCTTATTGGGGCGCGAGTTCGAAAAAGCAGGGTGAGTCCTCTGTTTTTTGTAATGACCGAGCTCGGTTCGAAATTAATAATGATTCGTGTTTGTTTGTGAAGATGGGTGTATCAAAGGTACTGCGAGGAGATGAAAAGAATTGGGCTAATGATAATGGAGCTTTTGGCTATAAGTTTGGGAGTTGAAAGACGGCATTATAGGGACTTTTTTGAAGATGGGAGGTCAATAATGAGGTGTAATTATTACCCACCGTGTGAGAATGCAGGGCTGACGCTAGGGACTGGGCCGCACTGTGACCCGACGTCTCTAACAATTCTGCACCAAGACCAAGTTGGTGGCCTTGAGGTCTTTGCTAATAATAGATGGCTTTCTGTCAGGCCACGACCGGATGCTTTGGTTATTAATATTGGTGACACCTTCATGGTACCCACTCGTTGCTATTCTCCTCGTTTATTATCGTTGATTGAAGATATATGTCAATAGAGATGTCTATCGAGCTGGGTTGGAACTAGAAAATTGTTTCATTTTTCATCTCTACTGAGCTGACTGATCTTTTGTTAAAGAGATATCTATGACTCCGTTATTTTTTATTCACGTGATACATGTCTTTAGAGATGTCTACAGGGCCGAATAGAGATGAAAAAGTCTTCCCTGTCCCCGTCTCTGTCTTCTTTTTCATTTTCCAACTTTTAGAAATTCTTCATTTAATTGACGGGGAGAAATCTCTTCCTGTGTAAACAAAATTCTCTACCCTATTCAAAATGGGTCTTCCTAACACCTCAATTTTGGAGGTTAAATGATTTTTCATTTAGCTATTAGCTTATCTCTTTGTTGAAAATACATGTGTTTAGAGATGTCCACAGGGCAAGATAGGGATGAGAAAGTCTGTCCCCGTCCCATCCTCTGTCTCTTATTTTATTTCCCAACTTTGAGAAGTTATTTATTTAGCTGACGGAGAGAAATCTCTTAATGTGTAAACGAAAATTCTCAACTCTGTTCAAGATAGGTCTTCCTAAAGTTTAGAGGTGTCCACAGGGCAGGATAGGGATGGGAAAGTCTATCCCTGTCCCCTATCCCGTCCTCTTCTCTTATTTCATTTCCCAACTTTGAGAAGTTATCTAAATCTCTCCCTATTCTCTCTCTCATTTTCGAAATAAACGGAAATTCTCTGTCTTGTTCAAGATGGGTGGTTCAATGGAGGTTTTATATGCCTTAACTAGTTGAACGATGATGCAGGCGCTATCGAATGGGGCATACAAGAGCTGCCTGCATAGGGCAGTGGTGAACAGGAAGAGAGAAAGGAGGTCACTGGCGTTCTTTGTGTGCCCAAAAGATGATAAAGTGGTGAGACCCCCACAAGATTTGGTGGGCAGAGAAGGGCCAAGAAAGTACCCTGATTTTACATGGTCAGATCTTTTGGACTTTACACAAAACCATTATAGAGCTGATGTTGCTACACTCCAAAGCTTTGTTCATTGGCTTCGACCCTCCCATTCCCATACCTTTTAACAACCGTCTCTGCTATCTCTATTCTTTTAAAAATTGCAATATTATTATTCAAAATTATCTAGAAAACGACGTACTCGAACACTATTCTTTTATTCTTATCACGATTATATCGTTTCAGGTTACCTTCGAGAAAATATTCGAAAGTTTTCACAAAATTTTCTACTTTGTTCTTATTGATATTCTCCTTTTTATTTTCTCTGCCCAATGCTTTGTCCTTCTCTTTGTTTCTATATTGCTTTTGGAGGGTCTTACCTAAATGCTAGTAATGATGCAGCTGCAATTTTGGCTGTTTTATGCCCTGCCTTTCTCTGTTATTCCATTTCTTCTTGCGGTAATAATGCTTTTTTTTTTACTTTTTTAACTCTTCCAAGTTGGTGCTTGTTTTGTTTGTTCATTTTGTACACTACCCATTAATGTTGGTAAATATCTCGTTCGATCGGTTAAATTAAGGTAAATTCGATTAAGAGGTCAGAAGTTTAAATTTCTCATCTCAACTGTCATTCGCCTAAACAATAATAAAAGAGTTATGTTCTAATGTGATATGGTATGTACTAAATGTTAGTATATTGTTTGAGCACGTGTTTAGGTACCTTAAATTCTAAAAACTATATCCTCGAATTAAGTTTAGGCACAAAATGACTAATTTTAAATAATGTAGCTCGAACATTAACTATATATACTAGATTTTATTAATATACCAAAATGTATCTTCATTCAAGGTGATAATAATATATATATATATATATATATATATTTAATTAATAAAATTAGACTTTTAACTCCTTGTTTTTCTCTCCCTCTAAAATTTTTTTATAGTTTCAATAATATTTAAATTTTTTTAAAAAAATATAAAAAATAAAAAAATTTAACAAAGTAATTTGGGAGAGAAATGGGTGATATTTATTTCAAAAATTAACTCTTAAAATGTTTTCAAAATTTCCCTTAATTTTTTTTACCAAAAAAAAAAAATAATTTTATATAATTTTTTTTAATATATAAAAGAATGCGTGAACTTAAAAACAAAAAAAAAACTTACCTTTAATTTATATATATTTTAAAATTTTATTACTCTGGTAATTTATTTCTGTTGTATTGAAACTCTAATTTCTTTCCGTAAAAAAAATTAAATATACTAAAAAAATAAAATTTAATTTTTAATAGATAATTTTGTGTTTAAATATAAAACATGAGTAAATTCAATAATATTTTATTAAATAAATATCTTTATCCCCATTTATCTTGAACGGGTGCGGTTCCCACAAATTTTCGTCACGAAATATGTCACATACAACACATTAGATTTGGAAATACAAAAACGATTTCGCAATTACACGACTTTCAGATCCTCATTTTTTTTAATTCGCACCTTTAACGTATTCCAATCTCTATGTGGTTTGTGGTTCGTGATTGTATACACCGACTCATTTGAAAAACTGAACTAAACAAAGGATATTTACAAGGAGTGAACAAGTTTTTCATACATTAAAATCAACAAGGAAGATATTTTTTAACATTATAAAAATAAAAACAGAACATCCAAGAAATCATGAGACAATGTTTTAATCCTCAACCACATGCTCTCTACATTTTGTAACAATTTTACAATTGACAGTTCCTTATACAACATAATTATTGCAATATTCCCCATTTGATGCTCAGTGTAACTTACGAGATAGTTTCGCATTTTGGCCGTGCGGGTCACCCGCGACCGGACCAGGCCGATTTGGTTCTTAGCAGAAAAAGAAAAACCCCATAAAAGTTGGTTCATCTTCCTCAGCAGTTCACAAACTGTACAGTATAAGTTTACTCATAACGTAAACTAACTTCAATACTTTGATACCTTAAGGGGCAATGGCGAAGTTCTTTTGTTTACTTACTAATATAGTCTCACGCGCATCTTTATAGGTTCTCGACACAATGGGCATGTCGAGATGGTTACCCCACAATCCTTGCACGTCTGGAGAGATGAATTGCAAATAAATAGTCGGCATAGGAATTTGGAATTCGAATTTGACTGAAACTCTTACACCAAAATTACTGCTGAACTTTGTCTCTTATTCTTTCAAAAGTTAAGAAGTTATCATTAACTTTAAAAAAATGTTTCAAAACAACCATTGGAATAGAAATTCGTTAGAACTTCAACGATAAATCAACGTGGAAATTATTTAAAACGGCATGACAGTAGCTAGGATGCTTGCCTAGATTATATCTGAAATAATGACATTTAGACACGTTGACTTTTCGTTCAACATTCTGACCGTTTTTTACTCCAAGGGTAGCTATGAAACTTTTACGAAAGGTTACAGGTAATATTTCAATGTTAGAAAGAACGAGATTTTTTACTTCTTCAAACCAAAAACTGCAACCTAACTCTAGCACTGTGAAAAAGTTTCATGGTAGAGAACTTACTGTATGACCACAAGCAAAAGCCATGTCCTTTGGGTTTGTTTGGCATATTGGGCAGACCTTGAACAAGTAAAATTGATATAAAAAGTTAATATTAATGAAGCCAAAACAGGGATAAAAAAAGTTTCAATTCCCAAGGTAATACTCTCACAACTCAATGCATTTTCAGCAGGACAAATTCATATTCCCAGTTTAACAGAGATTCATCTGATACCTGACTAACTTGTACTTTTCTATGCAGTTTTTTCCTTCATCTCCCTAATTTATAAGCAGCTGTTTTAGTTAATTACCTTTGCATCAATGTCCCTATTAATATACACTTTCGTTCCTTCATATTTAAATTTTGTTTATGTGAGAGCCAATATTGGTTGAAGAGGGGAATAAAACATTTTTTATAAGGATGTGGAAACCTCTCCTTAACAGATGTGTTTTAAAACCATGAAGCTGAGGGCGATAGGTAACGAGCAAAAGCGGACAATATCTACTAGCGGTGGGTTTGGGTTGTTACAAATGATATTAGAGCTAGACACTAGGCGGTGTGCCAGCGAGAACGTTGGCCCCCAAGGAAGGTGGATTTTGAGATCCCACATCGATTAGAGAGGAGAACACAACATTTCTTATAAGGGTGTGAAATTTTTTTCCTAGCAAACACATTTTAAAACCGTGAGGCTAACCGCAATAGGTAATAGGCTAAAGCAGACAATATCAACAAGCGCTGAGCTTGGGTTGTTACAAATGATATCAGAGCCAGACACCAGGCGGTGTGCCAACGAGGATGTTGGCCCCCAAGGAAGGTGGATTGTGAGATCCCACATCGGTTGGAGAGGAGAACAAATCATTTCTTATAAGGGTGTGGAAACCTCTCCCTAACAGACGTGTTTTAAAACCGCAGGCTAACGGCGATAGGTAACCGACTAAAGCAGACAATATCTGCTAATGGTGGGCCGGGACGGTTAGAGTTTCTATTTACTCCCTAAGTTTTCAAAATTAACCTTGTTTTCACCATTCTTAGAAAACTGCATAAACAAAATGAAAAAAGAAAGTTACCGATTCAGACGAGGAGCTCTGCCTTTCAGCATTAGCTTTGATTAAATTTTGGTTTGCAACTGCATTGTCATGGTTGATAACTTCAGGAGGAGGAGGAACTGGCCCTGCACTTTTGCTATATACAGATTCTCTCCTGCATAATACAGACCATCATGTTTGCAAGGAATTCTAAATTCTCTTGGAATTGAAGACTCTTAGCTTACTTTGAATACTGCAGAGAGAGAGTGGCTCTGTATTGAAATGGGATTTCCATGAGCGCAGCCAGAGCAAATGCTGCTTCCTTCTTTGATTCTTCTTTGCTCTCAGACATGATTTTTGTGAAGTTTACAAACTGAACCAATACAGAGAAGCAGATATGAAGTGAAGTTACAAACTCGACGAAACATGATCAAATACCGATGTCCACAGCTTTCATACGACAAAAAAACCAGCCACATATACTCATGAACTGTAGAGGTCTTAACCAAAAACAACTACAAATTTCAGTCAATATTTTTCACCAAAAAAAAGTTAGACTGATTTTCTGGATTCACGAATATTTAAAGAACGCGAACGCGATGTTCATCATATTAGTTTTTGGAAATGAAATATGAAGGTTGAATTCAGATCTCCAAGAATATCCCACACCACCAAATGAAGTTAATAGAAAATGTGAAATACACAACCATAGGTGTAACAACCCAAGCTCACCACTAGTAGATATTATCCGCTTTCGCCTGTAACTTAAAACATATTTACTAGGGAGAGGTTTCCACACCCTTATAAGGAATGTTTCGTTCCCCTCTCCAACCGACGTGGGATCTCACGATAAGATTCAATGAAATATTAATTAAATACCTGGAAATTATCAAATGCACGTTGAGGGATGTTATCATCGAATTGCCGCATCGCATCCCACGGTCCATCTCCTACCCCGACTAGAACGATCGATAGAGGATAATGGCTGGTGATTCAAGTATTATGAGACTTCGAGCGCGAAAGCAACCAAACTGAATAACAATTATTGTTTTACCTAGCAGCCACAATGGAGTTTATGGTTGCCTGCTCTTGAGAACTTAATCTACCTGGTGGTGTGTCGGGATTTCTCGTAACCTGTTCGATGTTGTACACTTTTAGGACTTAAAGAGAATGAAGTATACACAAGACAGTGAGAAGTAAGAATTAATATAAACCGAGCACATCCAACAACCTGTCCATCTGCAACAATAACAAGGACATGATACTGCCAATTGGTTTTCTCAACAATGCCTATTGCAGCATCTATAACAGGGGCAAAAGAGGTTGGACCTACATAAATAAGCTTAAGCACTTTAACTTAGGAAGAAGAAAATTACATTATCCAGCCAAAGCATTTACAAAATAATCCATAGATGACAATCGGTTGGGGAGGGGAACGCATCGCACTAAATGTTAAATGATTCTTCTTCTTTGGTGAGTTGCAAATTAGGTATCAATGGAGTACTACATGGTTTATGTGAGATCTCACGTTGGTTGAGGAGGAGAACGAAACATTCTTTATAAGGGTGTGGAAACCTCTCCCTAGTAGACGCGCTTGAAAAACCTTGAGGGGAAGCCTAAAAGGGAAAGCCCAAAGAGGACAATATCTGCTAACGGTAGGTTTGGGCCATTACAAATGATATCAGAGCTAGACAACAGGTGATGTGCCAGCGAGGAGGCTGAGCCCCAAAAGGGATGGACACGAGGCGGTGTGCTAGCAAGGATGCAGGGCCCTGAAGAGGGGTGGATTGTGAGATCCCACATCGGTTGGGGAGGAGAATGAAGCATTCTTCATGGTATCCTTAGCGGACGTGTTTTAAAAACCTTGAAGGAAGCCCAGAAGGGAAAGCCCAAAGAGGACCATATTTGCTATCAGTAGGTTTGGGCTGTTACAGTTTACCTCCTATTAATCAGGTTTAACCTTGATTAAAAATACCCATTTACACCCCGGCCTTTTTTTCCTATACGTCAAGATACTAAAGTACCATTATCATCGAAAGCATTTATCTCGCTGATCATTACAAGCCTGCCATAATGAAATAAATCTTCATGAACCAAGTTAGGGCAGAAGGTTTAAAAGCAAATTTTCTCTGCATTATAATCTATGCCATGAATAATACTGACAAATAGCTAAACATATTTGCAAAGTTAACTGAAAGTTCAAATGAACCCGATAATTTCAGGAATGGCAGAATTTCTCTATATCGAGAAAGCGCTTCCTTGAAACCTCTACATGGCCTGTGATCGGGGTAAAAGCTGAATACATGCTGATCACGCGTTGTTTCTAAAGAAAGAAGTTGAAAATAAGGTAATTAGGCAAGAGAAAAGTTGGTTACTAACACTAACAAAGGATCTAGAAATGATCAAAACCAATACCAACCATCACCGAAACCGAGACAAGGTATCAAACCATCATCATCAAAAGGAGACAATGTTTGTCCAATTATAGAAATCGCTTGCTCGTACGGATTGGGTATGCTGCCAATGGAATGCAGACTTCTTCTTCTGAAAGAATGCCTGCCTGCAGTCAGTGAAATGTAACTTCTAGCAATTTATGGAAATATTCACAAGCTTCATAACAATTGTTAAATAAAGAAATATTCACCTGTCCACTCATTGCTCTTTGTAAAGTCGATACCGAGAATTAAATTTGATGACTCAAGACCTTCGTGTCTCAATGCAGATATAACCTGAACGAAGTGTCGTGTATTTCCAGTATGCAAGTACTCGTGTCAATGTTGCTCGAGGGGTATGGTGAAATTGATAACAAATATCTATCTATCTATCTATCAGACTAGAAGAGAGAAATTCTACTATATATATATATAGATGCTTCATGTAACTGCCCAAGCCCCACCGCTAGCAGATGTTGTCCGCTTTAGCCTATTATGTATCACCATCAGCCTCATAGTTTTAAAACGCATCTACTAGAGAGTGGTTTCTACATCCTTGTAAGGAATCTTTCGTTCCCCTCCCCAATCTGGGATCTCACAATCCACCCCTTTGGGAGCCAACAACCTTGCTGGCACATCACCTGGTGTTTGGCTCTGATACCATTTGTAACAGCCCAAGCACACCGCTAGCAAATATTGTTCTCTTTGGGCTTTCCCTTCCAGACTTCCCCTCAAGGTTTCAAAACGCATCCACTCAGGAGAGGTTTCCACACCCTTCTTAGAGAGCTTCGTTCCCCTCTCCAACTGGCATGAGATCTCACAAAAACCAAAAAAAGTAGCGGCTTAGATAGAATATAGATTTAGTTCAGCGTGCTTTCATACATGAATTAAGCAGCCAAGATAAAAGAGTGAACCTGATCCAATGAGCTGAAATTATCAGCAATATGTCGAAAATCTATGTTCCGATGATGATCTGAATCCATCTAACTCTCTGCATACAGGAAGGTTCAAGCAGGCTCGCATCAACATAACTATAATACAGTAATTCCATATTCCCCAATCTAAAATGAGCTCTTCAAGAACACCAAATATACATTTAAAGAATCATCACTTCTTGAAAGGAAACATAACAATCAATTAGGATGCCCTTTTCGCTGAACTTGAGTCAATGAAATCAATATGGCAAAATCCACATGCATAGCACCCCAAAAGAACTTGATATCAAGTCACCGATCAATTCCTTCGAACTTGCTAAATCAAGCATTGAAAATCTATAATCATCGCATAAAAAAACACCCCCAGAACGATTCATAAATGCTAGAAGCAAGAAGGATAGCATGACTGAAGCAAAGAACAGCAACTTAAAGCTGCGAACAAGCTAAATTGAGCAGAACTAGAAAGAAAATCAAGCCATAGAAGACAAAAGTTCAGTGAAAAAAAGAAGAAGAACGCATTTAATAGGAAGCAGTAACTCACAGAGAGAGCTTTGGATGGGCTGCAATGGAGGGAGATGCAAACGGAGAAGAAGGTCAAAGGGGAATTAAGAATAGTTTTGAATATGCGATTTGTAAATGATAAAAAGAGATTCCTTCTGGTGATTGTCATCTCAGACTTCGAAGCAAAAGGGTTAGTTGTTAATGCGTGCACCCATCACCCATGTTCAAATAGATCCGTTCCAGACTACTACAGCTCACCATTTCTCAAATATTATATTAATAATCATTTTTAATACTATTTATTATTTGTAATATACAATAATACAAAAATATATATTGTTTTTTTAGAATTATATTGGGGAAAAAGTCATATATTTATCTTATTAGACTCTCGGGTTATTATAATTACAATATGCTCCTTGAGTTATCAATTATATCCTTTATGGAAATGGAAAACCAATTCGGGGAATTTCTGGCACAAGCATTCGATGAGGGAACCCTAAGAGAGCCGCCAACTCCAACTACCGTCCATGTACGATCCATACCGAAGGGTTGGTCATTGAGCAACAATTGGGTCCTCTCTCTTACCCTTTAAGTCAGTTTCGTTTCTAAATTTATACGAATGATCTCAATGAATCTTAAGAAATTGATTAAAGCCTTGGTTGACCTAGGATTTTGATCCAGAAAATTAAGATAACTTCTTGAACAGCTAAGTCGGCTTAGGTCGAGTCCTTAAGGAATCGATCAATTTAGCCCTCAATAGATTGGCCAAACCAGCCTTTTAACCTACTGCAAAAGGAATGGTTTAAAAGGATTTGATTTATCGGTCAAATGGAACCAATCCAATTTGTTATATCGACCTTTCCTACAATAGAGTATTACAATTAGATAGAAACAAACATTTATAAATGTTGATGGGTGATTATATATTTATATGGTGAAAACCATGTAATTGTTGGAAAATCCATATATTAATGTGGGTTTAATCCACTTATAAACTTGACAAAACTAGCCCTTTCTACGCTAGTTTCAAATTTATTCAATATTTTATTTAGTAATTCTTTTTTATATAAAAAAAAATGTTGTAGCGATTGCAAGCAAAGAGATATTGCTAATTGGGTGGTCGGCCAAAGCGAAATCGAAAGCGTTCTTAATATTATAATTTAATGCGTCCATGCACAATCCACTCCAACTCACATGGATCACGTTAGTTCATGAACCAACATTTTTAATAAAAATTAACATATTTAGAGGTAAATTTTATTTATTTTTCATAAAAAAAATGTAATTTAAAAATGACTAAATAAACTAGCAGTAAAATTTTCTATATATATATATATATACATATATGTAACACGAGAACACTTACACTAGAAAGAGATTTCGGGACCTCTACAATTACTTGAGATCTCATACTATATAGGAAAAAAAATGGTAAAAGAATAATTTAATCATTAATAAAAAGAACTAGAAACAAAATAAAAGAGAAAATTGACATCATCCTATATTCAGACGAAGTACCTAAAACGTAAATGAAAAAAAGCATATACAAGAATATATGATTTTTCATTAATAGCTATCAGTATCATAGTACAGGGAAAACTGAGGAGCAGCCTTTGGATTAAGGAATATAGGGAGGAGCAGAAGAAAAAATGAATTACACCCAAAGGCCCTGGAAGAGATATGAGAGATGATACACTGTCTAATTAGAGGACGTAACATGGCCATAAAATTGAAACTTTGAATTACCAAAACAAGAAAGGGATTGACCTAACCTTTCCTCTCCTTGCCAACAAGTGGGATCACGATGATGACAATGATGACGATGATGACGACGGGCTCTAAGAAATTGCATATTGGAGTGTTTCAGATTCATTTGGTCGCCACATTGACTTCTGAACGCAGAGCAATGCTTCATTGTCTTTGAAATAAGTAAACCGAACCTCCCATTTCATTGACTTGAACATGTTTTCGAGCTCGTTTACAGTTTCTGCAAGGTCCCGAACGATGAGCTTACCTTCTGGCCTGAGGATCCGGTCGGTCTCTGCAACTAAAGAAGCTAGATTGCACCTGTATGTCAACCGAGTAATGCATTAGCAAAAGGCATTGATTGGAGTTAAGGAGAGGAGGGATAAAAGGTGGTGTTTAAGGTTAAGGTCACCTCGTTTTGATCTTGGAGAAAAGATGGTCTGCGTGAAGAAGGTCATATGTTCTTGGGTAGGTGCTGAATGATTCACACCAATCGTGATATATGCCGAATAAACCTCGTTCGTAGATAATCGGGAGAGTGTCGGCTGAGACTATTGAGACGACATTCATGACCCACACTTTCAAATCTTTCAATGCAGCAGCAAATCTGCGAGGAAATGAAGAACATTTATATTTTTACTCAGAAAAACAAAGGATTTACTTTGAGGGGTGGAGAAATTATTGACAATGGACAGCAATATGATAATGATAGCTATCTCGAAGTACATTTCCTTTGAGGGGTGGAGAATCTTACCCTCCATAGACAGCCCTCATGTCCATGACATTTCGCACCGTTGACCAGTCGATTCCCATGCCAGCTAGATATGACTTTGTAACGACACTATTCCAGTGTTTGTGATCTGCAGCAAAATCCTCTGGAGCAGGTCTTCCATAAACTCCAACCTGAGAATTCAACAACCAGTATGGTGCTTTCTCCAACCTTGATGGCCATTGCTCTGGCCATTTAGAACCACGTTCTGACGCATTTGTCGAGATTTTGTGCATGCATGCTTGAAGTGGCACATTCCTGCAAATGGTTTGAACAAACTCAGTTGTACTAGCTGTAATGCAATAAATCTTCTGAAATAATTCACGAGAACGGGCATTTGGAGAAGGAAAATCTGTCATGGTCTTATATTCTAAATGTGTCTAGTCTAAGCTTTGTGATTTCTAATTTAGAAATAATAATAGAATGAACAAGAAAGCACATATGAAGGGGAATGATTCTGGACTAGACGCTCAATATTTTAATGGATCCTTTCCCCGTAATTGGGTGAGATGCCACATCGGTTGGAGAGGAGAACGAAGCATTCTTTATAAGGGTGTGGAAACCTCTCCCTAGTAGACACATTTTAAAACCTTGAGGGAAAGCCTGAAAGGGAAAGCCTAAAGAGGACAATATCTACTAGCGGTGGGCTTGAACTGTTACAAATGATATCAGAGTCAGACACTGGGCGATGTGCCAACAAGAACACTAAGCCTCGAAGGGGGGTGGATTTGAGAGTCCCACATCGATTGGAGAAGGGAACGAGTGCCAACGAGAACGCTCGACCCCAAAGGATGGATTGTGAGATCCCACATCGGTTGGAGAGAAGAACTAAGCATTCTTTACAAGAGTGTGGAAACCTCTCCCTAGTAGACAAGGGGTGGGCTTGAGTTGTTACAAATTGGAACTTCGATAGAATGTAAGTACACATTTGCTAACTGGAAATTAACATCAGAACAGATAAGTACCAGGCTGCATTTGGATCATCTGAATTTGGGCAGATAGGTGGCTCTTTTTCGGACCTCTGTTCGTAACAATCATTATTGGTAGGTTTTCGATATATGGCTGCACTAACTTCATCTACTGTATCCTTGTTAATTGATACAAGTTCCCAGCACATTGCTTTCGTCAGTTCTTTCATGGCTGTAAATAGTTCCACAAGATGCAAATTTGTTAGAACATCTAAATTTTGAAGCGCTCTAGTTTTACATTTACATTTACAACTAAAACTTCTAAAGGATCGTAAGTTGTTGGGTTTAGAAATTGCCAACCATTCCATATTTCAACATCTTCAGCCTTCTTCTGATAGACCGGTGTGGCAGACCAGACGAAGAAGCCACCAGGCCGCAACAAACGATTCAGCTCCAACAGAAGTTTGCCACCTGCACAGTTTCTTCAAAAGTGAACATTGAAACTCAAGCTATTGACAAAATGGCTAAGTTCAGTCACTGGTATAATGGACTTTTAGTGTATTCACTACATGATATATGAAAATGAATCGTGGTTCCAAATCATAGAAATTTAACCAATATCTCAAAATTTGAGAGAAAATATTAATTGAAACAGACTAGTAATCACATTACCTTCAGCGTGCCATGGGACTCTACAACGAGCACAATGGACAACATCAAACACTCTTCCTGGATAAGGAAGTCTTTTCGTCCCCATAACAGCAGATATAGCAGGAATGCCCCTCTCAAGTGCAAACTGGACTTGTGCTTCATGTTCATCTTTTGGGGCCAATGACATGGTTAGTACATCTCTTTCAAAAAGAAATCCTCCAAAGCTAGCCACTCCACATCCAACATCCAGAATCACGCGTGATCGTTTTCCCCAAGCAATATCATTGACAGCCTGCATCATTCAAATTATACCAGTTGTAAAAATTGTGCATTTGCTGAGGTTTTTAAAGCATAAACCACAAAGCAGTGTTCTTTAGTTTCATAGGTATAATACTACAGTCATCTCATAAATCTAAAAAAGAAAGACAGCTTTACTCAAAGGTGTATACAATTTAAACAAAAAGGCTTTTCAAAGAAGTAGCAGGAAAATAACAAATCAGAAAGATCATATAAAAAGACATGGCGTCATCATTACAATCCAAGATCTGAAAAGTATACACATACATTAAGTACATAAAATACAACCACCAACAATGAAAATGCAAATATGCAAACCAAATGAGCATGTAACATATCATACTAACAGGAGATTAAGGAGAAGAATGTTACCTCTTGTATGAAGTCAATGTAGTGAAGAGCACCATGCTTGAACTGGGTCCCACCACCAGGAAATGTTAAGTATTCACCAGAAACTTTTACCCAATTCTGATGCCCCTTAACTTCAGCAAGTTTTGTGTGGGGAACATTATAGTACCATATCTGTAGAAACACACCCAATTATCCCATCAATGAATGAAAGAAAAAAACAACAATTAAAAAACTGAACAAACATAAAATGTATTTTCTGAAGTAAAAATGTTAAATTGCTTTAACCTTTTCCCTGCTAGTTGGCCATGTAATTGAGCGTTTATAGCCCTCTGGAAGTGACACAAGGCAGGTTGGAGGTTCTTCAGGACAATGCCTCTCTCGATGTTCATAATGTTTTGTACTATGAAGACTCCTAATTGCTTGCAAATTGTCGAGGCAAGGAATGTAATCTGGTCCAGCAGTAACATTGCAAATTTTCCACTCATACCCAGATTGTTTCGCGGAAGATCTTTGAGATTCTTTTTCATTCTTTGATTCTGCTGCCTGAGTTGACCATGATCCCTTCTGTGTTGATGTTTCATTCAAAAGCTCCGACTGAGCACCAGATGGAAACACCTCACCAGAAGCCGGGTTTTTGGATTGGTTATTTTCATTTGTTTCATCAGAGCTTTTTCCATTTAGCTTCACATTCTCCCCTTCCTGACCATTAACATTTTCTCCGTCTTTAGTGTCACTTGGGTCATCTGTTTTTTTCTCATCATCATTTTTCTCTTCTGTATCATTTGAATTTGATTGTTTCTCATTAGAATTCTCCTCAGAATCTCCCTGTCCACCGGATTCATTGTCACCAGCCTCTGGCCTAGTTTCAGAATCTGGTTCTCCATTTTCCTCCTTAGGATCACCATTTTCTGTTTCTCTTTCATCGTCTGGTTTAGTTTCTTCATTCCCTCCATTCTTGTCCTCATTCTGTTCATCTGGCTTCTCTTCAGGCTTGTCTTCGGGCTTGTCTTCGGGATTCTCTTCAGGCTTGTCTTCGGGATTCTCTTCAGGCTTGTCTTCGGGATTCTCTTCAGGCTTGTCTTCGGGCTTCTCTTCCTGATTAGAACCTTGACTGTCACCCTCTTTCCTTGCATCATCAGGCAAATCTCCTGGGTTATCTTCAAATGGCTGAGTCTTGCCATCATTGGTCTCAATCACTTTGCCTTTTGCCAGATTTTTGTTCTCCACTGGCACATCAATATTTTGAACCGGAACTACAGAAGATGATGTTAGCATCCATATCCCAACCAAGCACAATGCAACAAATACTACAATGGTCACTGTTGAGCAGTAACTCGAAGAGGACCTTCGGTTATCTATTCTTGAATACTTCCCTAATGCCATTTCTATTCGTAAACTGATGTCCTATAGATTTTGCACCTGAGAATGGAAAGAGTATAGACAGAATAGTCAATAAAATAAAAATAAAAGAAGTATTAATTAGCTGATCACAAAGATCACCGACAACCTGCATTCATACTAACAAAGGATATCATGAAAAGTGATAATTGTTCCCAAAAAGCCGTTCAAACATTAACGTCAAACCAACAGTTAAAAGTTCCAGAAAAGTAGAAATTCAACTTGAGAGAAATTTAACACAAATCTGACTAGAGCACAAAGGAAAATATCCAACAGAGAAAATCCAGCCATAATTCACGGCACACTTACTGCAATCAAACACTAGCGTAAATTGATACATAAACAAGGAAGATCAGCTAAATCAACTTCGAAAGACATTAAAGCATATCAACCAATGATTTACTATGTCCACACCAAATAACGTCGATCCAGAACAAAGAAAACAAATACATACATTAACCGCGAAACACATCACGTTAGAATGAAAAGATAACACAATTCATTCACGTACAAGGAAACACAATAAGAACACAAACAAACTCCATGAGATCCACACATAAGCATCACAAAAAAGAAGAAATCAAACACCAATGCGCGCCAAAAAAGCAACAAGAAACTCAAGTTTGCTAGAAACCAAATTAGATCTACATTAAAAACGCGCAAAAACGAATAAACATCACGAAACCGGAAGTAGAAAGTAGAAAGCAGAAAGCAGAGCAATGAAGGGGCAAAAGCAAGAACAGGCTGAATGTAAAGAAAGAAAGCAAATTATAGAACAATAAACACGAGATCTGAGCGATCTAAACATCCGGAAGTAAGGATAACGCCATTGCCTACCTTGTAACGAACAGATCTAGCGAAGAAGGAAAGAGAGTTCGAAACACTATTCCTCCATTTTTCTCAAACGGAGAAGATGAAATGTAGTGGTGGAGCGAATGAAGGGGAAGAGGGAGATTTAATAGAGAGAATAAGAGAAGAGAGAGAGTAAGTTTGTAGGTGTTGAAATTAATTAAAATTAGTTGAATTAAATGTTTCGTAATTAAGCGATTAATTTGTTAATCACTTTCTTTTGTTTTTTACCGACAGTGTTCCGATACACCGACACTGACCTTCGGAAATAATAGACGAAAAGCACGCGGTGAGGACAGAGATAGAGAGATACACGCGCGAGTTTTGCGCGTGAGATAAGTTCTGGCCAATGAATATTATTTATTGGATTTTTCTCTTTCAAATTACGAATTTAAATCCTTTGATTAAATAACAATATTAGCCTTCAAAAACATCTTAAATTAATAAAAATACTTTTTAAACTAATTCTAAATGTTTCAATCAAACTTTAAACTAAAAAAATAAAAAATAAGTATTTTATTTTATTTTTCAAAATTTTGTTTTTTTAAAGTTTTTGAACCATTACTATTTCTATTTAAAAAATACTCATAAATTTTTAAAACTATTATTAATATTTTTAAATTTTTATTAATATATATATATATATATATGAAATATTTTAAACATTATTGGTTATATTTTGAAAAATAAATAAATAAATCGAAGTTTATTTTAAAGATTTTTTAGATATTAATTATAATATAGTTTTTGGGTTTTTCTTTTTCTTATTTTGGGTCAATAATTTAATTTAATTTAATTTAATATTGTAAGGTGGCACTTAGATCTCGATCTCCATCTTCTTGAGGACGTGACAGCGACTCCGGATCTACGCGGCTGAATTGATCCTCAATTAACTTATTTATTTATTTTTCCTTTATAGTTATATATTATTATTATTATTATTATTATTTATTTTAATTCCTACAAGAGCATTTATTATTATTATTATTATTAAGATCAACTTTTTTAATTGTTGCACATGGTGGTTTGTGAGTTCATGAGTACTCCTCTTCCAAATATTCAATTATTATTTTTTAAAATTATTAAAAAATGAGTTCAAAGTATTTATTAATTTTTTTTGTTCGAGTTATAATATTTATCTTTTAAATTATTCTAAAATATTATTTAAAAATACGTTGGAAATATTTATTAATTTGATAAAGAAATAAAAAAAACATTAATTAAATAAAAAGTTTTAACAAAAATTCATCGATTTTGTGTTAAATATAAAGTATTAAAATAAGCCGTAAAAAGTAAAAAAAAGAGGTAATTATTAGTTACCCATAATAAGGTGGGTCAAATCACAACAACTCATAATTATTGTTATTTTCATATTTCTTAAATTGCAATTATAAATTTAATAGTTAGTTTAGAAAAAGTCAAAATTTATTATCTTTAAAATTTGAATTTCTTCTTTATATTATTACAAAATTTTAAAAAATAATTTTTATTGTTTGATAAAATTATCATAAAGAGTCTCTACTGTTCTGACCATTTAAAATATAAAGATTATTTTTTAAAAACTAAATTTATAATTTAAAATAAATAATAAGGGGAGGAAAAAATGGAAAAAGCTGTCTAAATTATATATTTATGGGTCACGAGTTTTTAAAGAAAGATATAATAGAAAACTTGTTACTTGAGAGAGGAAACTTGTGAGTTCAGCTTTCTGTTCATTTTTGGTCAAATTTTTTCTAGTGAAACCATCAACTTCGCGAGCAGATTGTAGATGATCCGCTAACAGTTCGTTGTTCAAGTTTCGGGAATTCGTGAAGGTATTCGTTTCTTCTTTTGCGCATTGATTTAGTAGAAATTTGGATGCATTTAAGTTAGTAATTACATGTTAATTTTCGATTCAACTCTCGTGATTTCGATGAAGGTTTTTCTTGTAGAACTTGTTCTATTGTATGATATATTGGCTGTGCGATTTTATTGTTGTTCTGTTTGGTCCTCTTTAAGTTTTTTTCGATCCTTGTAATGGGAATTTCTTTGTTCTAACGAGTTTTTAGTATGTTAATTTTATCTTCAAGTGTTTGGTTTTCGTTAACTGCTGGTGAATTATCCATCGAGTGGGGTAATTTTATCGACACACCATTGCTGTCTACTAGAATGAGAACGGATAGTCAACAATGTGATATTTGGCATTATAATGAGTAATTTGTAGATGATTTGCAGGAACTAGCCCACTTTAAGGATTTAATTAATCTCCCAACCTTCTCATTGTCCGTTTTGATTGAGGAGTTCAGTTCCTTGATTGTTAATTTTCATCTCCAGCAAGGTGTTTGTTCTATTCAACTATGCTAATCAGTAGAAGTTGTATAGTTAGCAAAAACCTTACTTCTTCTAGGTTGCTATACGATCTAAAAATGGTGCCCACGATTTTTTCCCATCCTTTGATCACTGTGATCTTCTATCTCACTAAGCTTAAAACAGGACACTTACAGGTTGGCATGTCCTTGCACTCCCACCTTATCAAAATTGCGCTTTCATTTGAACTCTCCCTTGAAAACCGTCTTATTGACGACGTGTATTCTAAATTAATTCTATGGAAAATACACAGAAGGCATTTGATGATTTACCAATTAGAAATATTCACTCTTAGAATACCATTTTTGCTTCCTACTCATGTGTTAGATTTTTGGGTCAAGCTCGTAAGGTCTTTCATGAAATGCTTCATCCAAATATTGTTAGCTACAATACCTTGATTTCTAGCTTTACTCGCGATGGGTTGAGTGTAGAATCAATGAATATCTTTCGAATATTGCAACAAGATTTTGATCTTTTAGTCTTAGACAAGTTTACTCTTGCGAGTATAGTGGATACTTGTGCCTCTTTGGGAGCTCTGGAATCATTGTGTCAGGTTCAAGTTTAATATGATTGTTCTCAATGCTGTAATTGATGCATACAGTAAATGTGGCGAACTGGATACGTCATATTCTATTTTCAGTCAAATGCAGGAGAGAAATGTTGTTACCTGGACCTCAATGGTTGTAGCCTATTCTCAGACATCGATGTTAGATGATGTTTTTCGAGTGTTAAGTTGTATGCCGGAAAAAGATGTCCATACTTGGACTGCTTTGATTAATTCTTTTGTAAGCAACAAGTATAGAAATGAGGCCCTGGATTTATTTGAACAAATGCTGGAGGAAAAGATTTCTCCTAATGATTTGACATTTGTAGGTTTTTAGGTGCTTGTGTAGATCTTGGTTTGATAGCAAAAGGAAAAACGATTCATGGACTCATAATCAGAAGGAACAGTGGCCTTAATTTTTCAAAGGTATGTGCATGCAACACTATAACTGATCTGTACAGTTAGAGTGGGGACATGAAATCAGCTAGGACGTTGTTTAACTTGATTCTTGAAAAAGATGAATTGTCGTGGAATTCATTAATAACTGGGTATGCATAAATGGGATTGGAAGGGAAGTTCTTCTTGACTTAGGAGAATGATAGATGTAGGGATAAGACCGAAAGTGCGTTTCTAGATGTGCTGTCTGCCTGTTCCCATACTGGTTTGTCATCTAAAGGATTATATATTCCGGAGTTAATGGAGAAGTGTTGTGGTATTAAGCATAGTTTAGATCATTATGCGGTCTTGATTGATATGTTTGGAAGAAAAAATAGACTTGCCGAAGTATTGGATTTAATGTCCAGGGCACATAATGGATCAAAACATGTCATGGGGTGCAGTTTTGGGGTCTAGTAGAATGCATGAAAATTTGGACCTGGCTATGAGAGCTGCAGAAACTTTGATTGACATGGAGCCTGATAATGCTGGAAGATATATAATGTTGTCTAATGTATTTGCAGCAAATAGATGGATGAATGCCCATAGCGTGAGAAAACTCATGTTGGAAAGAGGTTTCAAAAAGGGAGTAGCATATGACTGCATAGAAATTAGAAATACAAGACATAAGTTTGTGGCAAGAGATACTTCCCATAGGCATATGGGTGAGATATATGAGCTGACGTTTATACTTGTAGATCGTATGAATTTTTTTTTGGTTACATGCCTTTTGACAGTGGTATTTACTTTTGTGATGGATATAGTACTTGAACTTTGATCTAAATTGACGTTTCTAACAATTTTTCTGTCCTTGGGTAAAAATGCTATTGAATTTTGACTATTTTTAATTAACCATCTATGCAAAATATTCAATTCTGTATTGTTTGCATATGTTCATACTTGACAAATAGTTTTTGATTAGGCATGATACTGTATTTGACTCAGAGATATCTTCTATGAAATATGACTGGGATTTTCATTCTGTTGCTCTTCATACCATATTGATGACTGATCATTACTTCAATTTCTGTAACCCGATTGTATTTGCTTAAGAGATATCTCCCATGAAACGTGACTCTTTAGGTGGCCTTGATTATGCTGCTTTTCTTTATGTATTGACGACTTTGTTCATAACTTCCTTTTTTTTAATCATCCTCCAGAAAGATTGCTGTTACTGGAGCTAAAAGAAATGATGAAATTCTGTTGTTCTTAATCTAGACAAAAAATTTGCAGGTGTAAAGTTTGTTCGATCTCTGTCTTATGAGTTAGTATGCAGAGATGAAATTCAGAAATAATTTCCCTGTAAGAGGGAAATATCTTTCTTTTGTCGTGGTTGCTCTTGCATTCACTGTCTTGGTGTTGTGGGCGTGGGAGGACAATCCTTTTCTTTCCACTTCTCAATCTGTTCAAGCATGGTATAGAACTTCTTATGCAGGTATGCTTTTCATCCATGTTTATAAATGTAGGTCTCATTTTGAAAACATGCAGGGTGGGTCTAATCTTTAATACGACTAGTTCTTGGAAAATTTTGCTAGGTAAAAAAAGTAAGCTAAATTATCATTTGGCCTTTATACACCATTTTCGATTTCACCCATACTCTAAAATTTTCAATTTACTCACCGAGGCATTGAAGATTTCAATCTAGTTACTATATAACGTAGTTGGAATTGAATAGAGAAATTATAACATAACATTTATGCTACATTAATATACCTTAATAAGGTACCCTAAATTTTGTAATTTGTCTCAAAATTCCCTTAAACTTATAAAAGTTTCAATAATATTCTTAAACTTTTTAAAAAGTTTTAGAAGTGCCTGATAGTTTTGGATGGAAGCTATTAGTAATTTATTTCAAAAATACCAAAAAATGTTCCAAAAATACCCATAAACTTAAAAAAGTTTCATTATACCCTTCAAATTTTTCAAAAAGTTAAAAAATACTCTCATTATTAATGCCATATTAAAAAAATACCCATGAGCTTCTAGAAATGGATGGAAACGTCATTTTAAGGGTACCCATGAGCTTCTAATGGTAAGGTATTTTTGAACTTTTTTGAAAGTTCAATGGTATTTTTGAACTTTTTTTTTTTTTGAAAGCTTAAGGATATTATTGAAACTTTTGGAAGTTAAATAATATTTTTTTAGGCAAAATAATATTCAAAATTGGTAATGCAAGGGATGGTTCATAAATGTAATGAATTTAGTAGAATGCCTAAACACACTCAAATCCAGAATTAATGTCTTTCCTTTCTTGCTATTTGTGTACCATACTGATGATTTTATTTGTTTAGGATTCATTGTAGGTCCGACGAACAGTTCTGTATTACCTAACACAGCAATGGAGAATACTGAAAAAACATATTCAAATTCAAGTACAAAAGAAGAGACAGTAAAAGATAGTGCACACTCAGAAGTTACACCCACAGACTTTGCATCCACAATAATTCTTAACAAGAGCCAGAGTAATGAGAACAGTAAGTACTTGCCCAAACTAGTGGTATTTTTTTCCAATTTGCTTGCTAGCATGATATATACAATTGAGAAACCGTCAGGAGTTTCATGGGGGCATGATCCCTGCTTGAAATTAGAGCCTCTTTCTTAGTGACTTTTGTTGAATATCATTGAATTATTTGTACAAGGGAAAAGTCTAAAATGAAGAGTACATAGGGGATGTATTCTTCTCTTGAAACTCATGATTAGTTTGATTGTGCTCATTTATCAATCATATGTTTGCTTTATTGGATGTAAAGATTCTTGATTAAAGATTTAGTTGTAAGAAAAAAAATCTGACTGGTGTCCCATAGAAAAAGAAAAAGAAAAAAGAAAAAAGAGCAAGATTTACGAGAAGATTAATTGAACTTGTAAAGTTTGAGGGCGGCGTGAGATGACATTATTACATCTTTTTCCTTTTGTTTCGAATCTTATGAAATTGGACAAAAAGTTGTTGGAAGTTTCTTACTGTTCCATATGGATTATGGCGTCATAGAATAATATTTCCTCTGCTAAGGTCTATGTTTTCCTCATTAAATGAAAATTTAATTGTCATTAAATAGGTAAGTGGGGCATATTATGCATTTAAGTTTGATTGATAAAACTAATTCAAATGAAATTTATATTGGATTAATTAGCATTATATAGGTATAGTAAATGAAATTTATTAGAAATTGATTTTCTTATTGTCAACTTAATATTTGATTAATAAGTCGACTAATATCAATTAAACTCATTTGTAAAATGGTCAGATGGACAAGGAAGATAGTGTATTGCTCTGTACTTCTGTTATACTAACAAAAAGTTATACTAACAAAAAGTTTCTTGTTTTCTAATAGAAATAATTTCGTTTAGATTCACAATTCTCATGACGTATACATTCTGAATTCTAACCAAAAGAATGTCATCAACCATCTTACAAATAACTGGCCCCCTTCCTGCATATAGTAGAATTAAAGTTATAGCTCATACTAGTTGGTTTTGATTCCGAGGTTGTTTATTCCTTAAACTCTTCAGCCTGTAGCTATGGAAATGGTGGATGGGTCCCTGATGATAGTCGACCACTATACTCTGGTTTTGGGTGTAAGCGTTGGTTATCCGCTATGTGGGCATGTAGACTGACCCAGAGGACAGATTTTTCTTATGAGAGATATCGTTGGGTTCCCAAAGATTGTGCGTTGCCAGCATTCGAGCGGTCTGCATTCCTGCAAAGGTACTTGACTTCCTTCTTGATTTGTGCATGTGGTATGTTAGAAACCTTCTTCCTGTCACCAAGAGTGGAAGTGAAAGTTGCATTATCTAGATTTTTTCTCCCACAAATATTTTATTCTTAACAAAGTTCTTTATCTTTCTACTGGGCGAATATGAGTTTAAAACTTTTTTTAAAAAAAAAATCAAGAGTGGGTGCATCATATTTGAAGCTTGTTGATATTGTTCTCTGGACTTCTAAAATTCTAAAAGTAAAACATTGAATAATGGAGATGATAACAGTGCATATAATGTGTTTTTCTTTCTTTCTTTTTGTTTCTTTTTGTTACTCCCATAATACGTTCGGGATGATAGTTGACAAATGAAAAGAACTCGAAACACCAAAAGTATATTATACATAGTTGTCTTGTTTTATTTAGTTAACAGGTTTTAAAATATGCAACCAAACAAGTCCCACCGGTGCCATGAATTCTGAGATATTGTATAGTTATCTTAGGGTCCAGATAGTACAATGTCAACTTGTCTGTCTGGTGGTAACTATTTAATTATTGTTTCTGCTATTCTTGATGCTTTTAAGTGATCTTAGTTTGTTCTTTTCAGGATGGAGAACAAAACCATTGCATTTATTGGCGATTCATTAGGAAGACAGCAGTTTCAGTCTTTGATGTGTATGGTCACGGGTGGGAAAGAGAGTCCTGATGTTAAAGACATGGGAAAGGAATTTGGTCTTGTCAAAGCTAAGGGTGCTATTCGTCCAGATGGCTGGGCTTATCGTTTACCGAGCACCAATACTACTATTTTATACTATTGGTCATCAAGCCTTAGCGATTTATTGCCTTTGAACATCTCAGACCCAACCACTGATGTAGCCATGCATCTTGATCGTCCTCCAGCATTTCTGAGAAAGTTTCTCGATCGGTTTGATGTGCTGGTTCTTAATACAGGACATCACTGGAACAGAGGAAAAATTAGACAAAATAGATGGGTAATGTACAAAGATGGAACTCGTAGTGAACTCGGGAACTTGAAAGAAATTGGCATAGCTAAAAATTTTACTGTGCATAGTATCGTCAAATGGCTTGATTTGCAACTTCCCTCTCATCCTCGACTCAAGGCTTTTTTCAGGACCATATCTCCTCGCCATTTTCGTAATGGGGAATGGAATACTGGTGGTAACTGTGACAATACCACACCGTTGTCTAGAGGAAGCAATGTTGAACAGAATGAATCAAGTGATGCAATGGTTGAGAGTGCGGTAAGAGGTACAAAAGTAAAGATGTTGGATATAACTGCTCTTTCTCAGTTGAGGGACGAGGCTCATAAATCCCATTTCAGTATTAAAGGAACCTCAGGCGGTAGTGATTGCTTGCATTGGTGTCTACCTGGCATCCCGGATACGTGGAACGAGATTCTTATTGCACAAATATAGTTCCTTTAGTCTTAAAAGTTCACCTTCTGGACATTCAGATTTGCTCCCTTATCTTTCCAACTTGCATTTTGCAAACCTATACTTTTGGTGATTGGTTCAGAGGAAGATGGCATTGGAATGGGGCATTCAGTGTTAGTAGTGAGAAGTGATAGCACTGTCGTTCTTGATATTTGGTCATATTAAACAATTGTATAATCAAGGGTTTTATACCAATTAATGATTTCATTAACGAATAAATGATTTTTTTTGTGCAGATCTTTGTATGATGCACATCTATGAATCACGTTCTATGTGTGGATAGGATCGTTTCCTCCTATTTACGATTATATCCAAGAACGGTATAGAGACACCCTCCTCTCTATAAATATCTAACTTAGATTAATTACAAAAAATGCAAAGTTTTGTTCTTGAGATGCCTATGTTTCACTCTTATCTATCTATTCATATGCATAATTGAATGATAAAACAAAAGCTATTATTATTACTTATATATTTTTTGTTTAGTTGATAATCAATAAATATTTCTTTAGTAAGAATTGTATAGTTGGATTTCTTATGTTTATTGAAATTGGTATTTGTGAGATATAATTTTGGTATCTACAATGTAGTAGAAAATAAGATCTCACGAAACAAATCATTTTCACAAGGGGGTGGAAATCTCTTTCCAACAGACGTGTTTTAAAGTCGTGAGAGGCTGATTACGATACATAACGGATCAAAGTAAACATTATATGCTAGAATTAGACTTAAGTTGTTATGAGCACTTAACGAACTATTATCGAGCAAACTCAATGTAAGAAAAGAGAGAGAAAAAAGTTGTAAATAAAGATACTGAGTTTTTATTTTATTATTTTATTGTTCCATTATAGATATGGATTGATAGGTAAAGGAGAGTGCAACATAGATATGGATTCATCAACCAAT